AGAAATTAAGTATGTAATACAAAAACAATGATAGATATTATTTGAATTCATTTAAGCTGAAATGTACTAAATATATAGATAGATACTAATTATGAATCTAACCTAAAAACATCTGTAAAAACATACTTTTTTGTAATATGGAGTTATGAACCTTGTTTTAATATCGATCTGGTTAAAATAAATTTGAAACACGAATATAATTATGAGTTATTTTAACTTAAATCAATTAATAACTAAAATGACTAAATGAAAAAAACAATAGGAAAAAACTTAGAAAAATATATTCATGAAATTGCATTCTAGCTTGTGAAACTTGTATTTCGAGAATTTTATCTTCTACATAGCACTCTTATTAGTTGTAAATTATAACAAAAGTATTAAACAAACAATATGTTAATATAATTTAATAGGATTGGATTTTGCAAAGATTCGTTAAAAATTAAATAGAAAAAGTTCACCAGAAGAGATAAATTCACTAAATACAGCTCTATGAAATAAAAAATGCTGAATGTCTGCAAATTCTTGTTCAAAATCCACATGTTGATCCTGGTTGTCCAGATTGCTGGTTGCCATCAGCTAGATATTTGAAAAAACGTGTTTTTATCTATGAATATAATTAAATAAATTCCAAAAGCACAATTAATTATAAAGAAAATACAGGATAAAACTAAAATAACTAAATAATACAAAAATTAATATATTTCACAAAATTGGTTTCTCCCATATAACATATCATTTTGCCTTTGTCATATAATAATTTTGTCTAATTGCACTATAATATCCAAAATGATAATATAACTATAAATTTTGGATTGAAGACTTGAGTGCAGTTCGCAAAGATACAATAAAAAATTTAAAAAAAAAATCAACAGACTTCTAAATAACTTAGGCCCAGTAAGTCAATTGCACTTAAGAATGTCCACATCATTTCAATCTTGATCTTGATTGACTTGATTATTATTATTAATATTCCGATGATTCAAAACAACTCAATGTTTACTATATACGAGTTTCTTAAAATTCCTCTTAACCCTGCTATTATAATAAAAAAAAGTTACAATTATGTATAGAAAATTTAGGAAATTTTATTTGCGGAGGGCTATAATAGGTACCTGGTAAAGCACTTGGACAATCCAAAAAAGTTCTTGGTATATTCGGATATTCAGAATTAATATAAAACTCCTGCCTGCATTTTTTGCACATCAATTTTATCTGGTACTTCTTTTTCTTTATGTTAAGAATTGGAATATTATTTAATAAAATCGGAGGATTGGGAACAGGTATTGAAGTTGAAGACTGGAAATGGTTACAGGGATCTAAAAAGAAAATTATAAAATATCTTAGGATAATAATTATAAAATATGTATATAAATTAAATATGCATAACATCATATTATGAAGAGCATTATGTTACACACATTTAATGGACACCAGAATAAGGAGAGTAATTATTAAAACTTTGAGAATAATCAATTTATTGATATTTCATTTCTTTTAAATAACATATATAAATTCATTAGATGTTGTATAAAATATATTTTTAAATCTACTTTCTAGAGAACTTATTATCTAAAACAATATCTTAATACAATTTTTAACTGTATTTCAAAATAGCTTAAATTATATTTTAATTACTTTAAAGAAGAATTAATAACAAAAAATTATAACATTTGGCAAAAAGTGACAAACATATTAAAAAAAATCAAATATCACATATTGTTTTATAGGCATTGGTTTTTTGATAAATATTATATTTTTTATGTTTTGGTTATATAAATTTTTATCACATTTTAAATTTTTTTACATTAATAAAGTGATGTAATTAATTTAATATATTCCCTGAAACAATACTATTAATATGACTAGAAATGTAATAAAACATTTATAATATTGTGATTAAAATTTATTCGAGACTGTCTATTTTTGAATGCAAATGTGCAATTTGAATGATCTGTTTCTGAATATAAATTTGCATACTTCCTAAATATTGTAAAAATATGCAAATTCATCATCTTTCATTTTTTACATATCTTTGGCCCAGTAAGGTTTTATTGATAATAAAACCTATATCTATAACATTTCGAAAATTTTGTCAACTTTATAGTTCATTTCTTGGATGTAAATTAAAATAAAACTATTGAACAGTAATAACCAAATAAAGTTAACAGTATTTAATAAAAGTGGAATGTTGTAGGGATTCAATAAAAATTAAATAATAAATAATTCATCAAATGAGGCACATTCAAAAAATTAGTTCCAAGAAGTAAATGCTGAAGGTCAACATCATTGTCATTTTAATCTTGGTTGTTTAGATGGCTGACTCGATGGCATGATGTTTCCTGATGTTTCCTGGTGTCTCCAAATATCACTATCTTTTTTTTAAATGTCTGTTAAAATTCACTTATTCCTGCTATTTGAATAAATCATTGATATGTTGTTAAAGTTACAACTTTTACAACTTATCACTGTTATTATTTTGTCTATCTGCAGAAGCACGCTCCAAGGAGCAGGTTGGGCAATGGAAACATCTTCTTACTACATTTGGATTTTCGGAATAAATATAAAACTGCTTTCCGCATTTTATGCACATCAATTTTACCTGGTACTTCTTTGTCCTTGTATTACGAACTGAAATTTTTTGAATAAAGTCGTCGGATTGGGAATAGATATTGCAACTCTAGACGGTAAATAGCTATATGGATCTGAAAAGAAAATAATTAAATATGTTATTATATATTAAAATTGATTTCTACTAAATACTGCATTTTCATACATAAATTTGATATACATACGATGGCACTACATTATGCAAGAGCATTAAATTATACAAACTTGATGCACACCACTGATACTAAAGAACTGATAAATCATTAGTATTTAAATTTTTCTAAAGAATGATAAAATTAGTTCAACATTTTAGCTATAAAAACAATGATAAAATGTTAATCTGATTTTATCGTCATTGTTTGTGAAAAGTAAATCCTAATGATTCATCAGTTCTACAACAACAATAATACAAACTGGCTGCTAGTGGTGTTTTGCCTTACAGCAAGTTGCATGAACTTCCCAAAAATTAGATATTTAGATGAAATTTCAAATTCTTTATTTGAAAAATAAAATTTTACACTTTTTTAAAAATTACAAAGAAACGGCT